GTGGCTTTGTTTCGCAGGCCAAAAAAAAAAATATCTTGCTTAACTAAAAAAAATTATCTTCTTCTTTTTTGGCCTTTTCTTCTTTTCGAAATCGCCGTTATTTTTTGGCCAGTGGTCCAGCCGCAAACGGACAATACACACATCAAACTCTTGTTCTTCACACGTGGTTTTTGTCAGGTATTTTATCGCTAATTATCAAAATGGGTGGTTTTCAATATTTTCATTGTCTCTTAGCCGTGTGTGTGGCTGCTCAAAAAGAAATATCCCCAAAGTTTTCAGTCAGTCTGTCGCCTCCAAGGAAGAAGAAAAACATTTCTGGGTCCCCATTCATTTTCCTTCGGTACATATTTTCTGATAACATAATTTTATTATCGCAGGCCAAAGTTGTTTCGTCGAAAAAAATTTCGGTCAGTGGACACGGCTTGTGTGCATTTAATTTTTCATATCTGTCCAAAGTCCTTTTAGTTTGGCCTGTTTTTCGTCAATTATCAAAATAACATTTTCATTTGAATTTTTTCTTTGGCCAGTGGTTCAGCCGTTCGTTTACGCACCTAGATAACACAGCCGTTATCAAAACACATCTGGTTCCTTCTTTCTTTCCCTTTCTTTTACTCAGAATTTCCCTGTCATTGTAATGACACCTTTTTTTTCATTTGTTACTTATCAATATTTTCATTGTCTCTTAGCCGTGTGTGTGTTCTGCTTATCACCCACGATTCGTCTCGCCTTTCTTTCTGCCTTTTTTTTTTTTTTTTTCTTTCTCTGCCTCGTAAATGGTGCCACATTATTAATTTTCTTAAACATATAATAAATGTATTTTTCACCAGATTATTTTCATACAAATTATTTGCTTTCCTCACAAAATCAACTTGCTTATCCTTAATTTAGGACAGTTAAAAAATAACAGTCAAAAATTATTTTATTAAAAATTGAAATGAGATAGAGATATCAAAATTTAAAAGTTCAGAATCTTTAATCAATTCAGTTTATCACGTCTTCATTCATTTGCTCTCATGCGCACATAAAAAGTGTGACTGAACTAATTTCAACTTGGAATTAATTTCAAGTCGGAACTAATTTCAACTCGGAATTAATTTCAACCCGGAATTAATTTGATCAAAATAATTTCAATTGAGAACTAATTTCAACTGGGAATTAATTTCAACTTTATAAACTAATTTCAACTTGGAATTAATTTCACTTCAGGAATTAATATCATTTCGGAACTAATTTTCAACTCGATTAAAAAAAACAATATCAATTTCCGTGAATTCTAAACAAAATGCAATGAGTCGATGTTTAATTTTTTAATTTAGCTTATAAAAAAAGCTTTTAGTAGATAAGATAATTCAGAATTCATTCTTGCAACTTTCATTCTATTTGTTGTAAACTAATAAAGTGATACTTTTTATTTACTTTTATTCATTTAAATCTGATCCAATAAAAATGCAATGTTCTTTGTAGCAAAAACTGTAGATTGCTTAGCTGTTTTTTTGTTTTTTTTTTTTTTTAGTGGGGGAGGTTGTAAAGAACCCTCGTTCAAAAGAAGTCGTTATTGATCAAAACTTAAGAAAATCAATAAATTAAATTTTAATTTCTTTTGAAAACTTAAAATTAGCTTTTTTGTTCCGAGATTTGATTTAACTTAATTATATTGCAAAGGTTGAAAAATGGGATTTGTCATATTTAAATTTTATCATATGGACTCGTTCATATATAAATGTCTACATTTTTAAAATGGATAGAACAAAAATTCAGATTAATGAAGAAAAAATAACTTCAAGTAAATGAATCTTTGAGGTTTTGCAGGCGACAATCTCTCATCAGAGTTGCGCTACACAATCACAAACAATTTTTGTTATTTTTCAAATAGCAAAAAGCACCTCGGTTGAAAACTTCCAATAGTAACAATAACGAATCTATGTAGCAAATGTAACGTGAAGACAAAATAATTGTAATGAATATAGGCATCGATTAAGAAAGAAACAGCATCGTTTAAGAAAGAAACGGCTGCCTACTGCGTGAATATCTTCTGCTTAGTCAGTCATGAATCGAAAGAGAAATGATCGTCCTAGCTTGTATCACTTAACTGACTATATCGATTAAATGATATTTTCACCTTTATTGCTTAACATAACGTTTTATTCAAATGTGTATTCTTCACAAATCTACTGTTCGAATATTGTATATTTCGGCAGCAACCCTTCTTTTATACGTAGTTTATTGAATGCGACAGATAAGGAAAGTCACGTAGGTTGTCATAAAGTTTTTCTAATGTTCTTACAAATTTCCTTTGGTGGAGCAAAGTGGGTGAAAGCATTTTTGCCATTTCATTCGCTATTTTCAAAGGGTTTTATTCTTATCAATTCAAGTCTACATTTCGAATATTGTTGGAGCATCGATTCTAGTGCTTCTAGTTTGTGGCTAAGGATGTTTGACACAATCTAAAGAATTATCTGCAACGATATCGCGACTTCAGTTCGATGAGATCTCATCAATTCACAGTTGAGCTGACTAAATGTAACCGTAAATTCTTTGCTAAGAGTTTTTTTTTCTCGCTGTTGGCTCCACGCTTTCCAGCGAAGTTTAGTCTTCAAAAATTTAAATGCAATGTCAATCGCTTCCTGGTGATTCATCTTTGATTCTTGGTCCTTGGTAGTGTTTTTGTTTCAAACTCTTCGGGACCAACTAACCCCTTGTGTCTTAGTGGCTTTATTGCCTTCTTTTGGGTGAAATCGGTTTAAAAAAAATTTCTGTAACATAGCTTAGTAGTGATATTTATATTAATATTTCCATAGCAATTGTCTGAGGAGGATTTCCACTTTAGCACCCTGATTTCATGAATTTAATCTAATACTAAATCTGATCATTTTACAGTTGGGATTACTAGATGTAACCATGAGTTCTGTGCTAATATTTTATTCTCTCGCTCTTCTGACTTGTGGAAAGGATTATTCCGGGTCCATTTTTAAATAAAATACGATCTTCAAAATTTTAAATACATCAACTGTCATCTGCTGTTTTTTGAATCCTGTGCTTTTATCGTCCTCAAAAAATATTCTCTCTCTCTCTCTCTCTGTCTCTCTCTCTCTTTTTTTTTAAAGAAAAATCAAATATATATATATATATATATAGTTGGATAATGAAAAGTTTGGTAATCCGTATGGATAATGGAAAGGAGGGTGTAATCCAGAGAGCTCAATGTCAAATGAGAGCAATTATTAATCCAATTCAAATAAAAACAGACAATTTTAAGGGTCTTTTGGTTATAATTTATTTCCCAGGTATATGATTTTTAATGGTTATTGAATGCCGAAAGGTGTTGGTTTTTTTAAATTTACATATAGTTCTTATATCACTGATGACCCAGGTAAAAACCATATACCTGGGGAAAATAAATTATAACCAATAAACCCTTAAGGTATATTGTTTTCTATTTAATTTATATATATATATATATATATATATATATATATATATATATATATATATATAAAATTTTAATGTTAAAAAATTTTAAATTTTAACAGTATGGGATAATTGGATAATGAATCACCTCACAAAATGTTTAATACCTAAAAACCCACTAAACTAATTGAGTTTCTTTTTCCACGTTTTCCGATAAGACGTTTAGCTATCTTGATACCATTTGTCGTAAGAATCACTGAAGAAAACCCTTTATTCAGTTAGAAATAGAACAGGTTAAAATCGTTTTGTGTCAGCTCCACTATATCTTCCCAGTTGAGCAATGGTGACAGGAAAAAGATCATTCACGAATTCAGTAATGATATAGATATATATACTTTGGCTTCATCTTCAAAGTCCATTCAAGAACCATCAAGAGAACGGTGAATAAGTTTAAAAAAGAGGGAACGGTAAAGAGGAAAACTGTATCAGGCGGTAACTACACTAGAGGGATCAACATTTCAACTTAGAGCTAAATCTATCCTTATTGTTAAAAGTAGAGTACAATAGTATTATAAAAAAACCTCGGAGAGTTTCAGTAAGATATCTTTAATCATTTCTAAGATACAACGGTTCAAAGCTTAATCTAGTAATTGGACAATTTTGCTGTTACACCATTTGGATAATCTTGCTGTTACATCCGGCACACACACACACACACACACACACACACACACACACACACATATATATATATATATATATATATATATATATAAGTTGGACAAAGCTGTATGCACAAATGGCCACACAGTCAATAACTGTACGAAGGTGTAGTGGGGTGTTGATAATGTTTTCGATTCTTTTATTCCATTGTGAGTTTTCCTTCTACCCGGGCCATTCTTGTGACGAGTTAATCGGAATGAGGTGTAATGGCTGATAATGTCAACAAGACGTGTTGAATAAATCCTCTCATATGTATCCATATTGATCCAAAGAAATATGTCCGTTTTCATCTCGAAAATATTCGTGGATTGTCAAATACAATTTGATACATTATCACTTTTTGTTTATTCATTTTTATTTGAGCTTACGACACAAAAATTGAGTGAAAATTGTTTGGAGTGTGGGAGCAACAAGAAAAAGCAAAGAAGGAGAAGAAACGAAAAGGAGACTCCGGCATGATTGAAAGGAGAAAGAAATCAAGCATAAAGAAAGAATAAAACGGGATCGAGAAAAATAACGAGAAGACGGAAGTAATAAACCGGAAGCAAGAGAAGCAAAACCGGGTGAAATTAATAGGAAGGAATTATGTAAAGAAAAGAAAATGAATCTGAATGTTAACAAAAGAAACAAGAATAATAAAAGGAATTAAAATATATAATCACTTGGAAATGGTGACAAGAAATATCTGGTTAAAATATATAAAGCAGCTGAAATAGATGAAAAATGTATTTTAATAGAAAGAAAAATGGTTGTCTTGCAAGGAAGAAAGGAAATGAGATGAAAAAAATTTAAGTGAACATCAAGAATTTGAATAAAAAATAAGATGCAATCGGGAGTATAAATCGTTAATGAAGAAGAAAAAGAATTAATTATGACGGGGAAGAAATAATGAAGAAATTAATTATGAACATGCGAGAAAGAAGAAACGATTTGGTAAATGGAAGAAAAACAATGAATAGTAAATTAAAATGAAAGGTTGAAAAAAATATCAGAGGAAAGTAGAGAATAATATGAAGAATAAATAATGTATTTACCTAGTAGATAGATGAATGAAAATAAAGAAAGGAAGAAACGAAACGAAAGGAACGAAAAGAAAGAAAGAATGAAAAATAAAGGAAGATGAAAAAAAACAGAATAGAACATTATAGTCTGGAAAAAAGATGGAAAAAGAAACAAACAAACAAAACAAAACAAACAAACAAAGAATATGACAAAGGAAATAAAGAAAAAAGAAGACACAGGGGAACTGAATGTTTCGTTTGAAAAGAAAGAAACGAAACGAAACAAACGAAACAAAATAAAAATAAAGGAAGATAAAAAAGAAAGTAAGAAATGCAAACAGAATAGAATATTGTCGTCTAGAAAGAAAGAAAGAAAGAAAGAAATAAAGAAAGAAAGAAAGAAAGAATGAATGAATGAAAGAATGAAAGAATGAATGAATGAAAGAATGAAAGAATGAATGAATGAAAGAAGATGCGTAAAGGAATAAGAAAAAGACGGAAGAACAGAACGGGGTGATATCATTTAAAAAGAAACAAAAAAACAAAGAAAGAAGCAAAAGTAACGAAACGAATGACAGAAAATGAAGGAAAACTAAAAAGAAATTAAGGAAGAAAAGAAAATAGAATAGAACATTATCGTTTGGAAAGAAAGAAAGAAACAAACAAAAAAAGAAAGAAAGAAAGAAAGGAAGAAACAAACAAACAAACAAAAGTACCGAGTGGAAAAGGATAAGAAAGACAGAAAATTAAAGAAAAATCAAATGTGGAATAAAATTGATAATACCCTGTAGCATTGGCCTGCAAAATATCTCTTCACAGCGTAGCATCGAAAAGAAAATTATGTAGGTTACAAGGTTGCATATATTGAGCACTAGAGGAGGATCGAACTAACTGCATTATATATTATATTGAGTTATATCTCCCTATTTGAGGGACCAGCAATCATGGATCGAACGTGCGAACAATGAGGTTTTGGAGAGGACGCAAACAAAGAGGAAGCTTATACTTAACATCAGGAAGGGACAGATAAAGTTTCTGGGACACATAATTAGAAAGGAGGGCCTGGAGAATCTGATACTCAAAAGTCGAATAGAGGGAAAGAGAGACAAGAGAAAATAACGCATGACATACCTAGTGGGCATAAGCAAGTGGATGACAGGACATAGTCTGAGGGAGGTGGCAGAGGGATGGAACTTGTTGAGAGTTGAAAGAGATAAAGGGAAGTGGAGAGCCATGATCGTCTACGTCCTGAAAGGACACGGCACATAAAAAGAAAGAATATTGGGCAACACAAGAAAAGAATGGTTTATCTCTCACACATAAATATATAAAAGATTTTTTTTTGTCTGTAATGAAAAACTTTTTGCTTTACTCAACTTATCTCCCTTACACTGGCGATACAAGTTAGGGTTTTTATGACAAAGTTTCCGAAGCCATGATACTAATGCTACTATAGACTTATACTATTAAAAATGATATATTTTGAGTAAACTAAAGTATAACAATATGATATAAAAAATAAATACTGGAGAATCTGATACTCTACGAATCGAATAGAGCGAAAGAGAGACAGGGGAAAACAATGCGTGAAATACCTAGCGGGAGGAAGGACGGAACTTTTTGAGAGCTGTAAGGGATAGAGGGAGGTGGAGAGCTATGATCACCTACGTCCTGAAAGAACACGACACATAAAAAGAAAAGAATCAGGTATGGTGCTCCTGCTATATACCTGGAGATTCTCGAAAAAATCTAAAGAAGGTTTCGTGATGCTATTGGTTCTGACCTGGCCACTCGTGTTCAATAGAGTACAATAGTATTATAAAAACATCGGAGAATTCCAGTAAGACAACTTTAATCATTTCTAAGATACAACGGTTCAAAGCTTAATCTAGTAATTGGACAATTTTGCTGTTACGCGATTTGGATAATCTTGCTGTTACATCCAGTACACACACACACACACATATATATATATATCTATATCTATATATATATATATATATATATATATATATATATACACCGTCGTAACGCACATTCCCTGTGCCTTTGTCTATAAATATTTTCATGGAAAATGTTTTAATTGTAACGCGGCCACATAAATTTAAATGTATCAACTTAGTCCCTTAAAAGGTTAGCGTTTTAGAGCAGCCAAGAGGATGTGTCTCATGACAGAAATAATTGTCTGCGAAATCAATACGCCAAACAATACTTGTTAAAGAAAGTAAGTATTTAAATAACAGTTACAGCGAAATAAGTAAAATAATGAGCAAGTAGAAATAATGTTAAAATTTAAAACTTTTTCGTTAAAAGCGTCAACAAACGTCTGCGTCTGTAGATATGCATAAAATCTGTAATTTTTGTTGTCTGTTTTTTCGTTTTTTTTTTTTTTTTTGCTTGAAAATATTCAACAGTTTCCGACCATTGTCTATCAGACACAATTCATTAGCAAAAGGAAAAGACTCACACCTCGCCAACGAACAGAAGGTAAAAAAAAAATATATGATCAGAAATCACGAAAGGAAACAGAAACCAAACAAATAGCGTTATTAACAAATGACGTTTTAATAATTACCTTTCTTTCCATTATAGCGTTATTAATCAACTCCGAATCTTATTTCTTTGCGTCTGGTGGCGAAATTTCTTGCACAAAGCAAGAAACGGCAATAGCATGGGGGTGGGGGATGGCAGACAAAAAAAAGAAAAGAAAAAGAAAGATTTATTTTCTATGTATCGCAAAACAACGGAGACCGTGAAATACACATTTTTAACATTCATGTTACAAGGATATTTATGTTAATGACGAGCCTCTGGTTGTAGGTCAAAACAGAATCCAAAGCAATGTATTCTCCCAGTTTGCAAAAACGGCAAACTTCCGTTGCTTCCAGACAATGTATCAGAAAAGTACACATTATTATATATATATATATATATATATATATATATATATATATAGAGAGAGAGAGAGAGAGAGAGAGAGAGGGAAGAGAGAGAGGGTAAATCAAATAACTAGATATTAACAACCGTATATGCACGCGTTATTGTGCATATACGGTTAAGAAAAAATAAATATTTACTAAATTTACCAAAAAGGTAAACATAGCTGTGCTCAATGTGCTTAGACAGAGCTAAGAAATATATATTGATAAATATACATATAACTACCTAGAGTGCGACTTAAGTTTCGTTGTTTTACCAACTCATCAGGCAGGATATATTATTTAGTAATATTACTAATATATTTATCAATATATATTTAGTAATATTACTAATATATTTATATATATATATATATATATATATATATATATATATATATATATATATATTGTTTAAACATGTTTCAGGAACGCTTATCTCGATTATATGAATTTAAATTTGCTACTAGACTAACAACTCGGTTTCACTGATTTACTGTTGAACTTTATGCAACCGCCATTTCCACTTTTCTAGCAGATTCTTTTCTAGAACTTCTCTCCTGTGGAACTCCCTTCCGATTTCTAGATTTCTACAGTCTTTTGACTTCCTGAACCCTCTTACCTCAATCCTCCCCACTAAATTCATCTCATTCTCTTTCATTGCTTGTAACCACCACTCCCTGCGTTCTGGTGGTGCCATTGTTTTGCTTGAGGTGAAATGATTAAAAGAAAATGAAAAATAAACAGATAAAAAATGTCTATTAAGTTTTTGGTGTGTTTGTTCTGGGTGCAATAAGTCGTTTTCTGTCAGATGAAGTCTTATAATGGAACGAAAAATATGCAATGATCCAGTTCGTTCGACTTTGTTGCTCGTTTTCAAGAAAATAACGTAGAGTTCGAAAGTCAGTCGGTGGCGTATACATGATGTTAACAAATCAAAGTTTGAAATAAAGGTGCGTTTCCATGCTATGGTGATAGAAGATATATTAGCGTCTTCTTCATCTGTGTGCAACGTCCTTTCAGAACAAAGATGACCCTGACTCTTCACAACTTCTGGCTCTTAGCAGTATTTTTCCTGTGGCTAAGGCTCCCGATTCCCATTCAGCCATCCATTCACACGGCTCATCAGATAAGTGACTCGTTGTCTTCCCTTCTTGTCTTCAATACGCCATCCTTCCTCGTTATGCGTCTAAGGAGTTCCAGGTATTTCTTATTCATTTTGAATAGAAGTGTTCTTTCTGTTGCTATTTTCTTTAAGACTTCCTCATTGTTTACTTGCGGCACCCATGGAATTCTCAGTATCCTTCTGCAGAGTCACTGAATTCACTACCATATAAAAAGATGGATTCCTACAAAACCAACATATGATATTATGTCCAATAACAGGATCACTTTTGCATATGTTATATATGCCTCACCCCTTCAGGACATAGGCGATCATCACTCTCCACAACTTCCTAGCTAAGCATTTACTTAGCATATGGCTTTATGTCCTGTGCCTTGGTATATATTATTTATCTACATTTCTTTTCTTATATATATGTTTTTATATATATATATATATATATATATATAGCAACTCTCAGTCCTCAAGACAAAAATGATCATATCTCTCCACATCTTCTTATTCCTTGTGGCACTTAGCAATTTTTCTCCATTTGCTAATGCTCCTGCCTCCAGTTCCCTCATCATGGCTTGCTGTCTTCCCAAATCTCTATTGCCCATAATATGCCCCATGAGCGTTAAGTTTTTAAAGTCCTCCTTGCTCATTGTGTGTCCATGGAATTTCAACTATCTTTTCAAGATTCTGAATAGAAGTGTTCTTTCTGTTACCATTTTCTTTAAGATTTCCTTCTTGCTTACCGGCTTCATCCAAGAAATTCTCAGTTTCCTTCTGTAGAACCACATTTCTGATATCTCAGTTTTCTCCTCATTTATGGAGAGATTGTCCAGCATTCACTGCCATATAAGCAAATCAACTTCCTACAAAATCAACATATGGCATTATGTTCAATCACAGGCACCAGGATAGCTTTTGCACATCTTCTATGTGCTGCAGCTCTTCAAGACATGGGCAATCATGGCTCTCCACAACTTCTTACCCCTTGTGGCACTTAGCACAAGTTTTCTCTCTTTCTATGGTTCCTACCCCTAGTTCCACCATCCATTCACACAAATTAATGAATTAATGGCTTGCTGTCTTCCTTAATCTCTATTGCCCATAATATGTCCCATGAGGGTTAAGTTTTCCAAGTAATCCATTCTCATTATGTATCCAAGGAATTTCAATCGTCTTTTTCTGATTCTGAGTAGAAGTGTTCTTTTTGCTGCCATTTTTCTTAAGACTTCCTCGTGGTTTACTTTTTCTATCTATGGAATTCTCAGTATCCTTCTGTAGAACAACATTTCTGATGTCTCAGTTTTCTCCTCATTTATACAATTTCACTCAACTGTAGCCAACAATAAGTTGATTGTTTAACAGTCATTTAACTTGATAACTGAGTCCACCCATATAGGGAAAACCCGCATAAATAGCGATTTTTATTAGTTTCTTTCTTACTTTTCGTTGATCTTTCTACTAATTTTCATCAAACTTAACAATTACATTATAATTATAAATTCACTGAAAAATTAAATTTCAAAAAACTCCAAAATAATTGTGGCCTGAAGTGTGTCTTCATGTTGCCTGTTTTAGCCCTTTATATTCCCGGCTAAGTACGATTGAATAAATACAGACTACATCTGTTATATCAGTAACTGCATTAATTCATTTTTTTAATGAAAGCACTTTAAAGTAATTGAAGAAGATAGACTCTGTTACATCTGAACCTGATGCTGCTTTTGCTCAATTCTAATTGAACGCTTTTTCTGATCGACTAACTGGGTATGGCTGCTAGTCTCCTAAATAAAGTTTCCTCACTTTCTTTCACCCCCATTAAGTCTCTCTGTCTGGGCACTTCGACGTGGTGTAATCGTTATCAGGTTTGTCTTGATAGATCAATTACGACCGAGAAATGAGTTCGATCCTCACTGGATGCTGCACACTTTCGGTCTCGTGTTGCATCTAAGCTACGCTTATAAAATTATTTATCAATTTTCGCAATGCTATGGAGAGTATTAAGAAGCACAAAAACGTCGTTAGAAACAAAGAAAAGAGAACTGTTACGAGTTATCTGCCCTCCTAGATGACAGTGAATGTTGTACAATCTTTTCAAAGATGAAGAAGTGACATGAAGCAACAGACATGCAGCGAATACCATGGACCGAATATGAGAGCAACGACGAAGTTTTAGAGAAAAGGAAAACAAAAAGAAAACTTATACATAATATCAGGAAGAAATAGTTGAAATTTCTTGGGTACATGTTGTGAGACCGTAACATACCTACAACATGGACTCTTCCAGGACTATATAAAGTATGCGATATAACACTCTCAGAGAAGAGGAGGAAAGAGAGAGAGAGAGAGTATTCTAATACCGTAGTATCAGCCGCGTACGACTACCAATATTAGACACTATCACATAGTAAGCTCCGCTTACACTTACACTATCTTTGTAACCTTTTTGTTTAATATATCTTTCTTACCTCTAATCCGTGTTCCGTGTTTTCCTTCCGTGGTCCCGACTTTGGGCCACATCAGTACATAATGAGGAAAGAGGGCTTGGAAAATCTGATACTCCCAGGACAAATTGGAGGGATAGAGGAAAACAACGCATAGAATACTTAGAAACTTGAGTAAATGAATTTCGGAAACAAATGACAGCAAATTGTTGTGTTTGATATCTAAAATTTATTTTTCTTTGTGGCTATTTTTATTTTTTCTTAAGAAAAAAAAAAGAAACGGGAGAATGTTAAGTTCGATTTTACGGACAATATTTGTTAGTCCATATAGCGATTGTATTTACATCCTGCTGGCTATAAAACCTAATGCTTTGTTAAATTAACGTGTATGTCCCTGCTAGTTCAGATGGATTCAGCCCAGGTACCGCAATTTAAGCTAGTATTTCTTCTTTTTGTTTTCCCTCTTGATAGGTGAAACTTTCAGTTTTCTGGTGAATTCTTTTCATAGTAATTTAGAAATTAACAGACTTCCTGCTGTCTGGACAATATCCCTAAAAAAATTAAATTCATGATTGCCTTCGCCCTCAGGGAACAAGTCACATAAAAAAGAAGTGAGTTTAGTACTCACTGGGTGCCCCATAAATTCGGAACTGAGCCACATCTAAGCAACAAAATCCCTATTGACCTATTGTGTCTTAGTGGCTTTATGACCTTCCTTGGTGCTAAATTATTAAAAAGAAATAGTAAAAACAGTTACATGTGTGCTTCTTCCAAATGATTCGTAGTTGGATAGCTATGCCTTTAAACCAGCACTACAATTCAATGGGTTGAGATGTCTGAATTTTTTGATGAAGCTTTTGTATTATTTCTTTCATTATAAATTTGCTATGCCATTAGTAGTAGTAGATATAATAGTCTTAATCCTGTTTTTATAATTTTTCTATGCGAGAAGTTGTTGTATCATAATAATTTTAAGTTGTCTTTCTGCTATCTCCATTCGATTTTCTAGGCAGCAATAGAGGTAATAATTTTAATCTGTCCAAATTTATTAGGATAATCAGCCTAATTATTAATTCTTTGCCGAATTTATACTTCACGTGTGAATATTTTCATGGCAATTGTTCTAAATGTACCACGAACGCATGAATTTAAGTGAGATCCTGTATGCTAGTTAGTTATGTGCCATGCGGGATACACGCTTAGGCGACCATGTATCGTTCAAGGCAGATTTTTTCCCGCAGTAGGTTTCTGTGGTAGACCTGTTGCCACCCAATGCTATAGAATCTGGTCTACATACCCATAGCTAAGGGGAAAAAAAGATGATGATTCATACCTTTCCCAAGGCTAACGTAAGTGAATGTCATGGATTCGACTGGAATTCGAACTCGGCTCTCCGATTCTTCAGTGCGAGCCGCTATTCATAACACCACCGTGCCCCCCTTGATAGTCCGTCTTTTACGTTTGGTATTCGTTAATTTCTGCAATGCTAGGAGTTTGAGCAGGTACTGCACTCTGATGCGAGATAGAAAAACATAATAGGCGTACGCGCAAGCAAATAGAATAACAGTAAATTTTCTACAATAATAATATAGTTTCTCATAATTAGTTGATCACGCTGGCACTGAGGAGAGAAATGGTTTGTAAATTGAACGTCTCCAAAGGAAAACTGCTATCTTTTAGTCGTCAAAGATAACCGTTTCTGTCTGCCATCAATATGGCTTATACTAACCTCCGGAAGAGCAACTTATTGCGCATGCTTGGTTTCCCGGTTTACGGCTTATTTTAACCTCTAGGAGAGCAACTTATTGAGCATTCTTTTTTTCCCGTTTTACACTGACATGATTTGGAGTGATCATATTGTATCAATTGCTAGATCTTCTGTTAGGAAAGTTCGTCCACTCTGTTGCACCAGACAATTTTTCATACCAGAATCTACCTTACAAATTTATAAGTCTACCATCGTCTGCGCGTTGACGTGACATCTGTCCTTCTTTACGGCAGCGAATGTTGGACGATTGAGTCAAAGATGAAGAAGAGACTCGAGGCGACAGAGATGTGGTTCTACAGAAGGATGTTGAGGATATCATGGACCGAGCGTGTGAGCAACGACGAGATCTTAGGTTGCAAACAAGGAGGAGACTTATACTTAATATCAGGAAGAGATAGCTGAAGTTTCTGGGACATATAATCAGGAAGGAGGGCTTGGAGAATGTGTTACTCTACGGGTCGATTAGAAGGAAAGAGAGACAAGGGAAAACAATGCGTGATATACCTGGCGGACTTAAGCAAGTAGATGGCAGAATGTGGTCTGGAGGAGGAAGAAGAGGGACGGAACTTCTTGAGAACTGCAAGTTATAGAGGGAGGTGGAGACCCATGGTCTCCTACGTCCTGAAAGGACATGGCACATAAAAAGAAAGAATCAGGTTTGGTGATCCTGCTATATATCTCGAGATTCTTGAAAAAATCTAAAGAAGGTTTCGTAATGCTATTTGTCCTGACCTGACAACTCGTGTTCAATCCGTATCCACCGTCGTATCGTACATTTCCTCTGCCTTTGTCTATAAATATTTTCATGGAATTTGTTTTAAGTGTAACTTCAAATGTACGACTAGATTGGCAAGTAGGTCTAATCGGTAGACTTTTGGAATAGCTAAGTGTTACAGCAAGTTCATTCTAAAACTTTTCTCTTACTTCTCGCTTGTAGAATTCTGTTTCAGTTCCTGTTTTACCTACTTCCTACGATCTTCAAAAACTTATTTGGATCACACACACACACAGACAGACAAACACACGCACAGATAGATAGATAGATAGATAGATAGATAGATAGATAGATAGATAGATTTACTAATTTAAAAATATGGTTCCATCGCTAGACAAGAATTACCATGAATTAAATTGGAAGTTTTCAGTTTCTGTTTTTGAAACATGGTAATACCTGTGTAGTAAATTTATAATATTTATGCTCTGCAGAATTGTATTGAGCACTGTTGTTTTTAAAATAAAAACAATAAGAACATCAGATTATAAATGTTACTATTTTTTCTCTTTATTTTAATATATATATATATATATATATATATATATATATATATTATTTTATAGATACAGTTTATCTAAATAATAAATTAACTAAAAAAATGAAGCATTTACTTAAATAAATTATATCTATTAAAATGACGTATAAACAGAAAATATATATATATATGTGTGTGTGTATATATATATATATATATATATATATATATATATATATACAAAATTTTGATAACTGTTAATTGCTATTTCTGCCACAGTGATATTACGTCCAGGTTCTTAAAACATATCAAAATTATTAGCAGATATTCTTTTATCACATTGCGGGATATTTAAAAACGAATTTGATGGAAAGAAAAATAATATAGATGAATTTGGTTAGATTTTAAAATATTCTTTCAAAAAAAAAATTGAAACTACCAGCTTCTCTCGTTCATGCGCATGTGTAGTCACAATAACATCAACAAACCCAGTCGGCGGAACCCCTAAAGGATGAAACCTTTTACATTTTGTCTCAAAAAAGGAAAAAGCGTATACTTAACATCAGGAAGAGGCAGCTGAAGTTCCTGGAACGCATAATAAGGAAGGAGGGCCTGGAGATTCTGATACACACGGGTCTAATAGAAGGAAAGAGATAAAGGAAAACAACGCATAACATACCTAGTAGCATAAGTAAGTGGATGACAGATGGTGATCTGGGAGAGGTGGAACTTGTTGAGAGCTGCATGGGATATAGGGAGATAGAGAGCCATGATCGCCTACGTCCTGAAGGGACACGGCACATAGAAAGAAAGAAGTATTTTTATCTCAAAATTGTATTCACTTTCGTTATGGTGAACATATATAAAGTGATGGAAAGTACTTGTGAAATAAAAGTGATTCTCACGCTTACAATGCTTTTCTCGCCTTATTTAATCTACGGAAAAATATTCGTGAATAAGAAAGGATTATGATGAAAATAAGCAGACATAATGTTTGTGTTTTTTTTTTTTTTTTTTTTTTTTTTTTTCAATCAGACATCCTTTAGGGCAATCTAGCCAAATTCATCTATACTCTTTTACTTTTCCTCAACTTTGTTTTTAAATATCCCACATTATGATAAAAGAAAACATACCAAGAATAATGACAGGTTGTAAGAGCCTGGACGTAAGCTTACTGACGCTGAAGCACTTTCCAGACATTTTCGCCTTAGTGAATTATATTCTCTTTTAATTAGAGTAGCAGTTTTTATATCAGAATTTTTGTCAGTTTTGTTGCGTAAACAACCAAGGCGTAAGAGTTTCTCGTTTATGCGCATGTGTAGTCACAACAACATCAAGAAACCCAATATGATGAAATCCTAACGGCTGAAACGCGTCACAAATAAACTTTATTCCATTTTGTCTTCCAATTTTATAAATACTGTTCTTGATATATAAAATATATACTGTCGTTATCTCATATATATATATATATATATATATATATATATACATATTATGAAATGGACAAAGTCCGACAATTATTTTAAGACATTTTTATGTTTACACATTCTTTTTATACATACAAATATTTAAGTTAATGCTTTGTTTATAATAAACAGTATTAAACAACATTTACCGGCCTGAATGTCCAAGAAATTTTCACAGACGGAGGACGAATATTTTCTCGGACATTCAGGCCGGTAAAAGTTCTTTAATACCGTTTAATTAAATATTTGTATCTTTAAAAAGAATGTATAAACATAAAATGTCTTAAAACATATATATATATTTTATATATATATATATATATATATATATATATATATATATATATATATATATATATATATATATATACATGAATCATTCATACAAAAGTAGATTAGTAAAGTTAATAATATAAATGGCGAAAAACATCTTCGCAAACAAATTTATTAAAGTTGCATTAACCTACAAACCACTCGATGAATATTATGATCATTGTTTTTAATAACTTCAAGTTGTATAAAATCTTTTTTTATTCTGCTAGTACTTTCGGCTGTACATTCAGCCATCTTCAGGCATGGAAATTATTTTGTTTATTGGGGTTTTTTTTTAGTAGATCCAGGTAATAGTGGACACGAAAAATTAAATGCCAATCGAAATATGTTTTTGTTAGAAATGTGTTATTTTTAACGGATAAAATTTAAGAGTGTGTGTTTTTTTTTAGGTTGATTTATATAAATTTGAGAATTTTTACTAATTGTAATTTATTTTGAAGGAGTTTTTTTCAGTCAATATGGCGTGAAGTAAATTGTTCAATAAATAGAGTAATGTCGCAGCTGTTATCCAGAAAATTTGCACGTCGGATCAGTTCTTTTTAAATCAAATATGTGGTGCAGTTCAATTTATATTACATGAATCATTCATACAAAATGTAGATTAGTAAAGTTAATGATATAAATTGTGAAAAACATATTGTATGAATGATTGATGTAATATAAATTGAACTGCACCACGTATTTGACACATATTTGAAAATATATATATATATATATATATATATATATATATATATATATATATATATATATATATATTTATATATATATTGATAATATCAATGTTCAGGACAAAGCAAGAATATGATATAAAAATATATTAGTTTTTGAATAAATATTTATATATATATATATATATATATATATATATATATATATATATATATATATGGCCAATCGTATTCGGGAATACATGTTTACTAATATAGAGTTTTTACCAAATAAAATGGACGCTTGCTCAGGCGCATTTTGTGTTTAGACATACCCACAAAGTGTGGTTTATACTGCAACTAACTGAGCAGAACTTAGAGTTTCTGGAAAAGAGCGTGTTATTCAACGTGATCAACAATTTTAATATTAGTTATTGCTCAAAATATATTTGGAGATGATTATATTGTGACTTTATACTAGCACAGCTATCTACGGCACCCAAGAGTTCCGTCTTATTTATTTATATACATTTTGGGTCAACCCGTGGCATGGTTTTCAAGCATTTAGCAAAGATGAATATTACACTGGGATCGACCCCTACAATCCGATAACATCAGGAAGTCTTAGATCCTAAGAGAGAAATCATAAAAACTATGTGATTCCAGCTCAGAAAACCGAAGGGTGGTGGCAGGTACAACACTCTGATCTTAGAAAAAAAAAAAATTATAAATTATACATAGAATCAAAATCATAGTATAGATTCTCAGACAGAAAGCATAACAGCTTCCAGCTGAGAAAGATCAAGGAATTAAACAGTTACTACACTCTGATTCCGGGTAGAAAAGGGTAACGATCGTCGGTACAGACAAAGATAATTATAGTTTACATATTTTGGCAAAACTCTTAAAATCAGTTAAAAAAATACAAAGCCATTGATTTTTCAGAATTAAATATTTAAAAGTAATTTTCTTCAAATGAAAAACGTTCCCAAAATATGCAGATTACTGTCACAGAAAGCAAAAATAAACTTTACAGTTTCAGAAAGATGAAGAAATATTAGTTATTCTGAGAAAAAAAATGAAATTTCGGTTTTAGACACCCAAATTAGATATGGACAAGAAAGGACAATAATATTTATAAAACCGAAAATAAAATTAAATGCAATATTAATCCAAGTTACTTTTTTACGTTTCTGTTTCAGTGAAATTTGTCAAGTTTTGTTCCAATAAAAAAAACAACTTTTGAACACAAAGAACCTATTATACATTAACAAAAATCTGTTACATCTTAAAATATAGGTGTTCACCACTTTTCGAAACTTCAATTGTACGACACTGCCCGTTACTTTAGTAAAGGTTTCCCCCAGTAACATTAAATGCTGTAAATGGAAGAAGCAATAAACTTTAATTTATATAGTGAATTTTTTCCAAAAAAAAAAAAAAATATTGATATCAAGCTTTTTTTATACGTTTCAATAAAATCTAAAAATAAATATAAGATTTTTTCCTTCTCTCTCTCTATAATATTATATATATATATATATATATATATATATATATATATGAATATATAACAAAAGAAAACATAAACAAAAATACCTCCTCTGGATAATATTTATATATATATATATATATATATATAAACAAAATACCTAACTCAAGAAAAGACTAGAACGCTCAAAAATTAACAACGATCATATGTCTTGAGAAAAATCGAGAAATATAAGCAGTCAATTGTTGATATCCTCGATTTAGTGGTCGGATGAATGTCTGTGGAAACTCTGGAGTCGGAACAGAAGGTAGAATCAATCAGCTTTTGACAAACTTTTATTTCATAAATAATTCTACACATGCACATTTACACAAAACAAACTACAACACACTCACACACACATATATATAATATATATATATATATATATATATATATATATATATATAACATATCAGATGTATGGATACGAGTTTGTAAATTGGGTTAAACGATTTAAACCATAAGACAAAGTGGTTTAATTTTTTAAAGTTAATCTTATTTTTTGCTTGTTTGTCGTCTATGTTTTAAAACATTTAGGGATTTAAATAGAACTCAGGATGACACTCTCTAATAACACAGAAACTTTACATAAATCTTTTTCGGTTTGAAATTTTAGTTCAAAAACGCACCCAATAAACAATCGGGAACTAGGCGCACATACACATCCATGCGTTCGGCCATAACATACATATTAAAATATATTTTTATCTCGTTAACGAAACTGTGGTTGTAAATGTAGCGATGTTCCCTTTCAAACAAAGAGCGGGTAGGGTGTTCTTCATTATTTTATATCTACAGCCTTATTTCGTAGAGAAAATAAACCTTCACACACATACATACACAT